TCCGGATTAAGTGATAACGAAGATCAGCGGGCAGAGTATATTCTTACCGTCTTTCCCCCGAATACAACGGGCGATCATTTTTTTTTTTTTTTTTTTTTTTTTTTTTTTTTTTTTTTTGGCACAACTCCCCCCCGGTGCTAGTGGTAGGGCGGTCATTCTAACTGGATGAAGACTGAAAGTCGGCCCAAATACATACAGCTATGGCGACCGTATGTTCTACTCGGGGGAAGAAGGTAGTCCATGCAAGTGACACCTCGCTTCAGGGCCTATGAAGGATTCGCTTTGACAAACCCCTCGTCCCCCTTTTTTTTTTGGAAGCCCCTCCCCTTTTCAGATGGCATTTTTCGAGCTGTCCACTGTAAATGGTAAGAATTTGAACCACAGTGTGAATTAAATTAAAATAATTTAAATGGGAGTAATTTGAATGGAAAGAATTGAAGGGAAAATTCGGAATTGTTGAAATGCCCCCGAAAGTTGGTGTATTTCGTCAGATACTCATGTAGAAGGCATGGGCTGTCCACTGTAAATGGTAAGGATTTGGTATTTCTGACCGTTGGACCCTGCAGATGGCAAAAGAAGTGCACAGGCCACTGCTGCCCAGGGTCAGGGCATATGGCAAAGTTGCCCATGAGAGGGAATGTGGCCGATGCAGAAATTTGGGGGCATTTCAGCGTATCCCTCCTGAGTTTTAGGGGTATGTAACAAAATACCCAAACTTGTAGGGGTATTTCGACACTTCCCCAGAAATTGAAATGGGAATAATTTTAAATGGAAAGAATCAAGTGGAATTCAGGAGGTCGTGGGTTCAATCCCCATTGGCCTCATGTACCTTCCTGGGCTAGCTTGGCGCTCGCCACCTAGACATATGCCGTTGGTCCCCCCGAGTGGCATTGAGCAGAGTCTGCTGATGTTCGTAGGGGAGGGGACCACCACCTGAGGGGAGGCACAGGGATTGGTCCTGTTGGCATGGTTCCTGATGCTACCGGCTGTCCCCTAGCCGGTATCGCCCACCACCTGCAGGTCGGGAGCAGCCCCCGCATGTTCTGTCGTGAACACGGTTCTGGCTGCTACGGGGTTCCCCGTATGCCTACAATTAGGAGTAGTGTTAGGTAGGTAGTGTGAGGTCAAATTGAGAGAAGAACATAGCTTAAAAATAATAATAATAAAAAAAAATCTAAATCTAAATTGAAACGACACCCCAGTTCCGGTCCCAGAGTCCCGAAGTGTCAGAATTTGAAATGGAAAGAAAATGAGATGTCAACTTTTTCCCCCTCTTGTCGTCTTGGGTTGTCGTTGATTGGCTTTCTCGTCATCGGGTTTCGATTCACGGTTATTCATCTTTTACCTCTGCTTCCTCAACTAGTCAATTAATAATTTATTTGATTATTTGCCACCAATGTCTGTTCTTCCTATTGAATTGCAAGTGTTTTTATCAATTAAAATAACAGCATCACCGATCCCTTGTTCTATTGAATGGATGCATCGACAAAAACTGTGTTGTCAATCGGAAGAAAACCCCCATGTCGATGGGAAGAAAAAAAAAACGTCAATTTCTCCACCGCCCACCTTTTACGAAGGGCACGCTCACACTACTACGTAGGACTTTTTCGGCTGTCAATGGGAAAAAAGACGTCAATTTCTCCACCGCCCCCCTTTCGTGAAGGGCACGTTCACACTAGTACGTAGGACTTTTTCGGTTGAATGTGGCCGTAATCACAGCGAAATTAGGGGGGCACGCTCACACTATGTAGGACTTTTTCGGCTGAATGTGGCCGTAATCGCAGCGAAATTAGGGGGCCACGCTCACACTACGTAGGACTTTTTCGGCTAAATGTGGCTGTAATCACAGCGAAATTCTGTCCAGCACGTCTGGCTAGTGTGGGTGTCAAAGTTTGAACAAGTATTTGACAGGGCCCACTACCTAGTGTGAGCTTAAAGGTTTCAACGAAGTATTTCAGGGTTTTTTTTTTTTTTTTTTTTTTTTAANGAAAGGATTACAATATGTGTACACACACGCTCCTCCCCCTCATGGTGTGGAGGCCCGAAGGATGACATTGATTACTTCCCGACGGAAGCATGTACCTCCCTTCACCCCTGCCTAAGGAAGTATTTCAGATTATTGTTTTGTTTCAGGCTGAAACGAAAAACTTCGGGCTAACTTAATATTTTGGGAATAATGGGCTTGGGCGCTTTATTGTTTCCCTCGTCATCTAGCTTATTGGGAAAAAAAGGGATAGGCACTCAAAAAACTTGGAGGCACTTGAAGAAGGGTGACGCTATCGAAGGAGACACTTGGCACTTTGACGAAGACAACTGGGATTCTCAAGAGGACAGCTGGCTCTCTGAAGACGACTGATTGGGGGTTGCCAGGCGTGAGATGGTGTCTGAAACTCATGGAGCGGGGAAGACAAGGAAGGTGGGTGTTCTGATTTGGTCTGATTTGATTTGATTTTTGTTTTTCATTTTTTCAATTGTCCTGTAAGGCTGTAACTACTCATTTGCATTCCCTAGTAAGACTATTATTATTATTATTATTATTATTATTATTATTATTATTATTATTTTCGTTTTTCTGTTTAAAGATTGGCCTTTTTGTTTTCTTGGAGATGAATGGATGGAGGAATGGACGTTGTCTCGTATACTCATTATCTCCTTTTGGGTTGCTTCTTTTCTTTTTTTTTCTAAAATTGCTTCTTTATATATGATGCCGTAATGATGGCCATTTTTTTGCCAGCCTTTCGGTCCTGCATTTCTTTCTGTTCTTGCCTTTCTTACCCATACCTCTTTTATGCAAGGGAAAAGAGCAATGCAAATAAGAGCAGAGCACTGACGTCAACTGATAATGGAAGCCCTGTAGCATGAGGCATATGATATATTGTAGTTTGTAGTAGTAAAGCTGGCAATAGGCAAAGTATCTGGATATCAAGCAAACGGTAAGGAAACAGTGAGATAGTATCATCGAGTAGAAGGTAGGGACAATGACTGAGGAATGGATGTTCAGTTAGAATTTGGACATTGACCGGCCGGTGAGGCTGGCAGACGGCTCTCCCCCGAGTCCGGCCATTTGCAGGATCCACATGTTGTGTGTCTGGGTGCTGCCAGTAAGCTTCCCGGGCAGCAAGTGCACCCTGCAAATGAGTCATGGTTCGGGGGGAGAGCGGCCAACAAGTGTAAGCGACTAGAACTGCAAGGGTGGCTGTATCTGACTCTAGTCTGATCTACTCTTTCTTTTCCTCTCCAACTGCTTCTCATGTACTTTTGGCTTGTCGGTGATGAGCAACCGGACTGATGCCCCCCAGAATAGATGGGGCTTTGAATGATTTTTTTAAAGAATGGCTAGACAAGTTTGTTGTCGTGTACCTATATGATATTCCGATCTTCAATAAGATGTTAGAAGAGCATCAAGAACAACTTTGTCCTATACCTTGGACATGTAGTCAATGGAGATGGAGTTAGACCGGTTGACATGAAGATAGTGGCAGTTAGAAATTGGCCAACCCTACACATGCTCACGGAACTGCGGTTGTTTCTAGGACTGGCTACTATAGGAAGTTCGTCAGCAAGTTCAATTCCATAGCCGCACCGTTATGCAAATTGCTGTGAAAGAAGACTGTTTGGAATTGGGATAAAGACTGCACTTCAGCGTTCAAGAGATTAAAGAAGTGCTTGATAGAGTATCCGGTTCTTTAAATAGCTGATCCATCTCTTTCGTTTATTGTGACTACTGAGGTGAGTCGATACGGTATTATGCTGTACTCCAGCAGAACGATATAGAGGGATATAGGCTTGTTGAGTTCATGTGATGTAGACTGCCTAGTGAGAATGTTACTGCCTTGACGTACGAGAGAGTGCTGTTCGCATTCAGAGAGGCTCTGAAGCACTGGCGACATTACCTCCTAGGACGATTCCTATGCAGATGATCTAGTCTATAGCGACACCATGAAGAAGGTACAGAGGGGGGCAGAAGATCGTGGGGAAGGGACCATGTTGGCATACAGGAGAGACAAAGAAGTCCGCACAGACAGAAAGCTTCATACGGTACGCCGGACTACTACACAGCAACGACCTCGGTGTGGCACTGCACCTTCGGAAAGTGCCTCTGCCCGGCAGCGGGGGCGAGGAAGGGGATACAACAGAGTGTAACACATGGACTACAACTGGGAAACTGGTTCTGGACCTACAGCGGGTGCGACGAAGGGGATAAACAGAGTCTAACAGAAGGAGTACTGCTGAGGAACTGGCTATGCTCCTACAGTGCATGCGAGGAAGGGGATAAAATGCAGTGTAACGTTGGATGTGGTGAAGGGGGCCAAAGGAGGCTAACGTAAATGGCTTTGGGGTACACTGGTCCTCCAGCAGCACGGAGGCCAACTGCTGTGTACTTTACTTCCAAAAAGGGATGGTGTTCGCTCGTGTTTAAAGCATGGTAGACATGTGGCATGAGATGTTTCTGCTAGTATGCTGTCTTCATCACAATTTTCCCCGGGTAATCAATAATGACTGCCCAGGCTGATGTATGGTGGGATGCTGGACTGCTCAGTCAATCCTCTGGTCTCCAGAGTGATCAATGCTGGCAGGACTCTAACATAACCCTTTCTCTAACACATTTCAATTTCAATCTGTATTTGGGACGCTGGACCCGTTTTCCAGCAGGTGTTGCTCCCCACAAATAGATGGAGCCTCCCCTCAGGTGCTTGTGGTGTCCGTTCTAACCAGCACCACTAACACTGAAAGGGGCGTTTTCCGTTAAAAAAGGATGGCGTCCCCAAAATTATTATCAATGTAAAAAAAAAAGAAAAAAAGAAAAAAGAAAAAAAAAAAAGAAAAAGAAAAGAAGGTACAGACTGTAACTACATGAGGTCCCAAATTATCGAGTGGCCGATGGATTACTCTTTGAAAAGACCGATGTGCACAATAGATTATGTATCCGAACAATGAAGAAGTTGGCAGTTTGATTTTAGGGGAATGTCAAGACACTGAGGGTCACTTTGGTTGGAAGAAGAGGTATGCGAACCTCCTTCGATCCTACACGTGGTTTGGTATGAAACACGACTGTACTTCATATATTCATATATTCAGGGCTGCAAGGTATGTCAGAGGAACAAGAGCTCCACGCAGCCTCCCCTTGGACTGTTTAAGCCATTGCCTATCCCATCAGGCCCCAATGACTCCGTGTCAATAGATGGACACTAAAGGTAGAAGTAGAAGCGGTAAGAGTCAGGTTATGGTAGTGGTTGGTGAGTTCAATAAGTTTGCTGTTTTTATTCCGCTGCCTGCAAAGGCGAAGACAGACTTACTCATTAGAGACTTTTTCAATCATTGCATCAAGGACTACGGGTAGCCCTTTATTATCGTTAGTGATAGAGACACTAGGTTCACGGCGAGCACTGGCAACAACTGATGAAAGTCTATGGGTCTAGGCTAACTATGTTGTCAGGCAGGCACCCAGAGACTAACGGACAGACTGAGCAGATGAACAAGCTGCTACAACAAGTGCTGCACATGCACATTAGACCGGACCAAGTTGATTGGGATTAGCATCTCCCTAAGGTAGCCAGTGAATACAACAATTCTGTGCACTTAGCCGCCTCCCGGACACGAAATAAATTGCACAAGGGTCGGTGTCTTAGATGTCCAATAGATTGTTTGAACTCAGACCAGATTCAGAGACTGCCACCCAGTACTAGGGAATTTGCCATCCAATATGAGTAGTTACAGTGTGCGACTGAGAACATTCAGTGACTTCGTCTGGGTCAAGTCCAAAGAGTCACGCCCTGAAGATTTGATATAACAGAAATTATTACCTGTGTACAGAGGCCCTTGGCAGGTTCTTGATATCAATGGAGATGTTGATGGTCCCTCCTACACTGTAGAGATCCCACCTCATCTGCACACTTACCCTGTCTTCCATGCCTCTAAGTTGCTTCCCTGCATAGTGAACGATCAGTTTCCTTCACGCAGGTCCATGATATCGCCCGATATGGATGGTGGATACGATGTTGACAGAATAGTTGTTGTGGAAGATGTCTACAGGTCAGGACGAAGGGGTGCCCGCAGGCTCTTATCAGGAACCTGAAGACGATTGCTGGTTCGCTAGAGATGAACTTGTCGAGACTGGCCCGCATATCAGAGTTGGCAGCCGAGACTTTCCCAACCTAAACACACCCTCTTTGAAAACCAACCACCCATACCCACTGTATGCCTGGCCTACCCTACCTTTACCTATCTCTACCTGCTCCAAAGAAAAAGACGTGTACCCATACCTGCCCTACCTGAACCTCTTCAGACTGTTAACTGCCCATACTTGCACGTGGACAGATTTTACCAAATCCACCCATGGCGATCTGAACCCAAACCGGTTGTCAACTGCCTATACCCTACCCAACCGTGCTTTTTTTCCCCATACCCACCTGTACCCACCTGTACCCACCCACAATTGTATGCACCCCTGCGCCTGTCTCCTGAGTCCTGACGCCTGCTGCCGTTGTCGATCACACCCGCGACGCCCTCCTGCTGGGTCACAACTGTGACGTCGACAATGGAAGCTATGGAGGATGGACAATAACGGGCGGTGAGGAGGACGACGGGTGGGGATGTGAACGACGGTCGAAGACTCCGGGGAATAGTCGGAACAGGGAATGGGAAGGGGCGGGAGGCAATACAAATGGGCAGGAGGCAATGGGCCTTGCTCCACTAACGAAATGTTGAAAATGAGAATGAATCTTCCACTGGAACATGGAAAGAAACACCACCTTTTTTTCTTCTTTGCATTTCGGGAGTAGTGGAGCAAGGACCACTCGAAAGGCCCAACTCAAAGTCTGGAAACTTTTCGACTTTCTACAACACAGCGGCTCGGTGGCGCTTTGAGCGAGGTAGTTGGAAAAAAGCAGTTAGGTCTAGAACTTGTGGTGGTGGGAGAGGGGGGAGGAGAGGGGGGCGTGTCGCTGGGTTGGAGGGCTGGAATGCGTAGGTACCATACTTGTAACCGCACGAGCCGCACATTCGTGCGGAGTTCCGTGAGGGGAGTGCCTGTGTTTTTTTTTTTATTATTATTTTTATTTTTTTTTGGGGAGGGGGGATGGCGGGGGGCGTATGATAGGAAGCTGGGGATATGGCGAGTAGAGGGGGACACGGAGAGGAGGAGGAGGATGTGGCCGAGGAGGACGCCGAGAATAGCGAGGACGACGACGAGGAGCAGAGATGGGGGAGTTGAAGAGATGGACGGAGGGAAAGAGGAAGGGCGGGAGGAGGACGCGTGGGAGGAGGAGACATGGACGGAGAGGAAGGGGAGGACATGAGGAAGGTAAGGAGACAAGGAGGCATGGAAGATGGCGAAGTACGAGGAGGAGGAGATAAGGAGGATGAGGAAGGGCAGGAGGAGGATGGACAGGAGGAGGAGACATGGAGGGCAGGAGGAGGATGAAAAGGAGGAAACGAAAAGGAGAAGGGAGGAGACATGGAGGAGGAGGAAGGGGAGGAGGAGCAAGGTGAGGCAGCACTCCTGCAATTTTTTTTTTTTTCATCCCGCTTAAAATTTTGGTGGGGGGTCTTGAACGCACCGTTTCAACCCCCGGCCTTCCTTTTTTTTTTTTTCGGAGGGGGGTGACGGGTCGTTCCCCGCACATGTCGTGTGTCCCACGGCATCGGTTGGGCGCGTGCGCCGCACATCGGGAACTGCCCGCATGAGGTGCGCTTGCATGTATGGTAGGTACTAGGTATACCATGAGCGCATGCCTACCCGATAGGAACCTCTACCTGCCCGTACCCATACCGTTTTTTTCCGTTGCCACCCGTCCCTGCCCATACCCGTTTCATTTTTCTTTTTGGCTGCCCATACCAGGGTGTGCCCCCCCCCCCCCCCCCCCCCCCCCCCCCCCCCCCCCCCCC